AATAAAAATGTTCGTAAAATTATCTTAGTCAAGCGTTTTGCTCGTGAGTTACTACAGACAGTCCTTGAAGACTGCACGATCTGTCTTGAGGTGTGTGGGGGGGGGGGCTCGAGACAATAATGATCAGCTGCTTACTGCTTGTAATGAAAACAACAAGATGTATCAGGCACCTTTTGAGTTGCCTCACTGGATGCACATGTAAAATTTATTAGGCGATTTTTTTTATTTGATGGTGATATTTGGCACTTTATCTTGGCTTGGTCTATTTGTATGTTTCTTTTTTGAGAATCAGTGAAACTGGTTTGGTTACTTGGCTTTAAAATTTGGTATATTTATTCTGCTGCATTGCACACACCGTAAACAAAGGAGATTTGCATTTGGAAAATACTTTAAATAATAAATATGAATAAAATGTTGTGTTCAAGTAAAACTGATTTTACGCTGTTGATATTGTTTTAAAAATAATAATTACTTCTATGAATTGCTGTAACACGAAACATAGATAGAACTTACTAGGCATTTAAGTTCAGGCCTCGTGATCAGACTATGACAAAATGATTTTATAAACGTAGTTCATAAATCTTACGAAAATGAGTCATCGTTCCGGTAACCTATAAGGGAATGTGAGTAACAAACCGAACATATGTTACGTAAATTCACAGAGATCACAACAGATGATATTTCAGAATTATTTGCTATCATTACATTCAAAATTATTTATCTTCCTGTGTCATATCTAAAAACTTGAGGATTAAAACTTACACAATTATAACTGCATCTCCACATGGTAAATAAATCGAAACATGGCTTATCGATTATAAAGAAAAGTTAATATGAGATGATCTCTACGTATATGCACCATGAAAAGAATTCAGTAGAACTGTAAAACAGTAAAAATTGTCGGCACTAATAAACTTTCAGAAAATTATTTTATTGCGACAAATTTCTCCACGAAGCGAAGTCCTTAAAGAGACGCTAATAATCTTATAATATTCCCCGTCTTTATGGACCACGAAGGTTTGTTACCGTGTTCACAATTCTCCCCCACTGGTCCCTGTCCTGATCCTGATTTTTAAGACCCATTTTAATATTATCCTACCATAATTTTATCATTATGTCTTCCGAATGATCTTTTCCCGTCAGGCTTTTCTGAGTAATATATTTTTTCATCTCCAGAATGATTCATTTCCTAGTTACTTCCTCCTGCCTTTTGAATGCAAACACCTTTTTTTCCCAGTCATCTGTTCTGAAATATCTGCAACCTAATTCTAACCAAAAGATGAAGACACAATTCTGAAGTGTATAGGCTACAATACAGCAGGTAAAAATATTAATTTGCGTATTTTAATAATTTAGTTTTAAGATAGGTGGCGATGTGATGATGAATGGTTCCGTCTTTTAGCTCTAAAAACAGAGTGAACTCATGTCATATTCATTCCAAATATGCAGTCTGTTTGTCAAGTATTTGTTACAGTCAGCTTCAGATTACCGTGTAACGACTTCATGATCGAGCAAAGCTAAGTGAAATATTTCAGAGTTGTTTTTCTGTTCATTGCCTATTTAGCATTACAATTCGGAAGAAAAATTGTGAATCTTTAACCTTTTGAAGAACATAGCTCATTTAAATAATGTTTACAATTTATTTCCTACCTCAAAGAAAATTCAACGCGTCTGCCCTAGGAAAATAATACATACTTATTATAAGAATCATGTTAAACCCATAAATAATCCTGTGAGCTAAACACAGTCATTTAATTTGATAGCGAGTGGTACCACTGCACTTTAAGTGTTAAACACTTATTATGATCTCGTGTACGGTTGACTAGCCTGTCGCAAAGTCTGTCCCGACTCAAGATGACATAAAACAACACAGAACCGTGCTTGGAATTCCATCGTGGGTAATGCTTGCCTCGCGCACCGTCAATTTTGTGGTAATCTTCGAAGATTCGAGGGTTGTGGATCAATGAAGCGAGGGTGTATTAACTGCCCCTTGTAATTAGCCACGGTTATGACACGCATGCGCGTGTTAAGTGCTCGCATAAATGGAATCTGAATCCAGCGAATGCACAAGCATGTCTCTTTTACTACAGATGCACAGAAAGTTAGCCAGCATTCGCTTTCTCTGCGCGAAAGTGTCGAAGGTTCACGCCCTTGAATTCGAGGTCTTTAACTTCCCTGCCATGACCTGTGGTCCGACAGCTTTGTTGAGAGCAGCTTACCCACTGTTCTACATGTGATTAAGTCGAAGAAGTAAAAGCACGAAGATATGTATGGCTCCGTATCTAATTTACATAATTTCCCATTCTGTGCGAAAAGCATGGCTACATGAGATTTGATAATTGAACAGCCAGGACTGATAATGTATGCTTGTACGTACGTATGTGTGTACCCATGCATGTAAATATTATATGCTCGCGTATATGTGTGTGTTTATATATATATCTGTCTATCACCGTCTGATTTTTTCACTCACTCAAACGCCTCCGCAAAGCGTGGAAACGTAGTTGAAAATTATTTTTAAAAACTACTTTTTTAATAGCCGTCACCAAATTTCATGCTTCAAGGTCACAGAAAATTCGTATAACGTTGCAACTCGAACACAAACTCTCTGACAAAGACAGGAACACTGTGCCAATGAAACACCAACTTCAATCACAAAGCAAACTGAATGACGACTTGTTTTACAGAAACTGCTGAATCTTGCATTCACAATCTGAAACACGTGTTAAGTCACCAGCTGCTGCTTGTTTGTTTAAGTTTCAGTCTTCGGAGACTTTATGTACCCATAGCAGAATTTTTATAAAATCTTTTCCCTGTTTACTTTCGAACACACTTCATATTTTTAATGTCCGCGGTCTGTCAGTAATGAATATTTTATTTTACAACGTTTTGATGTATGTGTACATGAGTATTTTGTTAGAGTTCCTAATAAATCGAATTTTAACATTTTGCATATAAAACATCGATGTAAATTAAATAAAATTACTTATTTGAATTCCGAAATCGACTAAGTACGGTGTAATATTCAAAAAGTGATTTATTTTCCTTCAAGTAGAACGAAGTTAGTAACTAGGTCTTTGGGCTGGCACTCTGGGAAAGTTTTTCTAAAATTCCAGATAGTCAGTGACATGAAAAGCGACGCAGGTTTATTTAATAGAATATTACTTGGCCAACTTTCGGTAATTTTGTAAACGACACCAGCAAAGGAGAACGTGCGGTCTGCAGAATTACGAGCAGCAATGAACTCGATCTGCCATGAGTAGTCACACACCTTTCATATCCCACTATTTCGGTTCCATTTGTATTCATTCTCTCATCGCTGACGATTTAACAAATTACATTCCTCAGCACAATTTCGAAAAACTGGCTCAGGAAGCATCAAAACAGGTTTCGTGTATCACTCCGACTGACGCATGACTCATTCTGACCACCACACATTCGTATCCATTCTGAATCCGCGGTACGTAGGTATTCGTCGCTGTACATGCGACCGACCATATTGTGACACACCAGTACATTTCTTCAGACAAGATGGATGGATGGAAAACGCCACAACAAGATCCCACATGGTAACAATGTGTCTGCCGCAGATGTAATTGTAAACTCGTCTCTTATTGCCGTCGCAAAGAATTTGTTGTTTCTTAAAGAAATGTGTTTGTTTTCCGGAAGCTGGATTCTGCTTTAGCCTTCTCTTTCTTACCTGAAGACGGAAGCAGAATTCAGCTTTCGAAACGTTAGTTTTACGCTCGTGTAATTTCAACGATGGACAAAGTTCAAAAGAACAATTTTGAGTATGGTTACTTGAGTGTAATCTAATGCTCTTTTTTCCTACCCCTTCCCTTCCACCCCAGATTTAAGCCAGTTCTGAAATATATTGAGAGAAACAGCACGTTATGACGTTATTCAAATATCAGTATTTAGTAATAACTGAACAAAACTCAATATATGATGTACCTTGTATATACAACAGAATAAATAAAGCAGTCTAGTTTATTTTGGATTTATATTCGATTTCTCTTCCCTGAGTCGTTGTAACGTGACGTAAGAATATGAAATATTAACATCGTGCAGATCTTTTAAGAACTGCTTATACACTGTCTTGGACAGATAATTACGCCATCTTTTTGTAATAGGATGAAGTTGCGTGGTGTAATCAGATAGTAGATAACATCAGGATGAAAATAAGAAGGGAAGACGCAAACAGAATGTATCAAGAAAGACCAGCTTCTCTCGACTAGAGCCACTTTCACACACAAACACCGCAATGTGAGGGTGGAAACTGAGCAAGGTCAAATAACTTGCTTAGTCAGCATTAAAATTCATATTGTCTCCATTCCCTTCGTGATCAGCAGTTTAGTTGACTGTGTTTTACGGACTAAATTAAATCTGTCGCACAAACATTAGCGTTATTGTAGGCTGAAGCGCAATGATTTTGACCTCAGAATTATATTTGAAACGGATATACTCGGAATGGGTACATTTGTGTGTTCATCTCATTTGACCATTTTATAGAATAGTGAAAGGCAATAGTTATTCTGTGGCTCACTTTTCAAAGCATCAATCATCTAGATGTGAGTACAGGCATACCTCGTTTTATTGCGCTTCGCAGATATTGCGTTGTTTTTACAAATTGAAGGTTTGTGGTAACCCTTCGTCGAGCAAGTCTATCGGCGCCATTTTTCCAACAGCATGTGCTCACTTCGTGTCTCTGTGTCACATTTTGGTAATTTTCGCAATGTTCTCGCAATGTTTTTTTTTAGACATAATGCTATTGCACACTTAATAGACTACAGTACAGCGTAAACAACTTTTATATACACTGGGAAGCCAAAAAATTCGCGTGACTCGCTTTATTGCGGTGGTCTGGAACCGAACCCGCAATATCTCTGAGGTATGCCTGTATGAAAGCCAGACTGCAGTAATAAATAACGAAGAAGACTCTACAGTAACGAAAATCACATGTACCAGAAGGGAAATTCATAGAGGGGTCACGTTATCCATTCCCGATATAAGTTATATTTTTAAAAAAATTACACTGAAATCACAAAAAGACAAGCGTTGGAAATGTCCACGCACCGGTGATGAGTTCTTGTGCCACGGAAACGGTTCACCGGATGAGCTATTGTCGATTTTTATTTTGTCAGAGGAGAATCGGGAAATATATCCCTAACCTCATTTTGGCAAGTTTAGTAGAAACGATGAGCCAGGCAGAACTCTCGTTGCACTTCGACTGTTGAAAGACAACTGATGGGCTGGCGCCAACAGGTTTCAACATGACGTGACGTTCTTGAATGCGTGGGTTCTTGAATAGTCACAACGATATCGTGTGCTGATTAATCTTATAGAATTGTAAACAACTGTAAATCATCAATGATGTTTTAATATGGGCTGCGAGATTTTGAGATCATTCAGTACATGGGATAGCTTCCAGTTTCATGACGTTGCTTATAAATTTTATGAAATCGGTCTTTTGTGTCCGAAGTTATAACTTGGACAATTATACACCACCGACACAATGAGAAATACACTCACAGACATGATATATTTGTCTCGTGATGGCATAATTTTCATTATAAAATAAGGAAGAATTATAAAGACACATTTTGAGTAGCCCTCATAATGGAACAAGAACGCATGTTGGTACACAATGTTACTAATTTTAGAATCTCTGCTCAATCTTAATGTCACCTCCTGTCGTATAGGTGTGAAAGATTTTGTTTACTTAGCATCAAATCGCTCTCGATTTAGGCCTATGGATATGTAACAATTTGATGGCTTCTTCTTAACTAGTAAATATGATAACTGGTTGGGTTTACAATAGAACCGTTGGATAAGGTTAAGCGCCTTCATGATCGTGTTCCGATTTTAATACAAACTCATTAAGATTGCCATTTACTTTTTCCTTAATTTTTTAAATTTTTAACCATTTATTTTTAGTAAGTTATTTTTAACTGTTTTAACATTGACGCTTTGACCATAATATATTGGCCCATATTATATCGTATCTCTATTTATAACTTCCTGACCCAGTTTTGTAAGAGTTTGTACAGTCTCATCTGAAAGGACCCCTCCTCGCGAGTCTCTAATTTACTTTTTACTACTTGTAACAACCATTAGTAGGGTACATCATTAACATATTAATACGTTTCTACATGACGATAACCAGACAACTGGTTTTCATAATGGTACCCACATTATTGAATTAAGATTTGTTTGTGTTTAACGGTTCACACCAACGCAAATCTCTTACCAATTACTGATGCATGCATGTGACATGAACTGTTTAAAGAATTTATATTTTAAACAGAACAGATGGTAATTAAAATTGCGGCATATAATAATGACGCACGCGCACGTTGAAATAACATGACCCGAATAGAGTGAATCCATTTGAATTATGGGACATGGCCGTCGACCAATAGGTGAAGTTCCTGCAACTTACCATGGAAGGGGAGAATATTTGTTAGGTATGACTTTTATGCCAACATTGACACTTCAAACGTAATGACCTTAAGAACTACAACACATAACTTGTGTTATACGAACATACACAGATACATATACATACCACGTGCACGTACGTACAAAGCGATTAATTGCACGTCAGTATCAGCTGGTGTCTGGAGAAGTAACATACATCGAACACCGGACACAGTTATAGTTAACCTTGATGAGATTTTAGGTTCTCACGGTGGCGCGCATGAAGACGTCTGTCTTCTGCAATGCTGCACACTGTAGTCTAGTAGACGTTTACCAACGTTTCAGAGATGCTTCCTGCTTCCATTATCAGGGCGCCGAAACAGGTCTAAGATTACAATAATAAGATCATCTGTAGACTAAAACTGCAATTTAATTACGTCGCTGAAAAATAAATATAAGTAAGAAGTGTGGACTGTGTTAATAACCGATGACGCTGCAAATATTTTTGGTATAGTCATAAATCATTTTCACATCTATCGATCTGATCTACAATTAGTCGTAATGAACAGCTTGTTTGATCAATCAGTAGCGTCCACTTCCCGCAAGGGTTCGCGCCCCGCGCAATCTCAGCTGATCGTATCGAGGTTAGAACAAATAAGGCAATGGCTCGGCGAAATCGACTCCCTCCGTCCATCCAATGAATATAAATACACTTCGTATTAAAACTGCTCACCTCATATATCGATATAGGCTATTAATCATTGTCGTGGTTTTTGTTTGGTGTAATTACTTTGTCCATCAAGATTAAAGACGAGTGACTGGTGGACGCTGCATTAGCAGAGAGCCGTATCACGTCACATCCCGACTAATTGCGCCTTCTCAACAATTACCTACCATTGATTGATGACAGGGAAATGAAACGACGTTTCGTAATGCCACCCACGAGCCTTCCTGGAGATAGTCTTTCCTTGTTCATTTCTTCCTACATCCACACTTTTCTTCGTCTCTCTTCCTGCATTGCTTTATTTTTTCTTGTTGCTTGTTGAATGTCTTATTTTCGTCTTTTCGCTTTGTTACGTAATGCATCTCAGAGGACATTTATACTTTGCTTATTGGTTGAAGTTGAACCCTATTTGAAGCACAACCGCGGTTCACTTTATCATCATATTACAGCCCTTTCTTCATTATTCCATAACAACGAAGTTAACCAACTCTCCGGTGACAGAAATCGATGATTCGATACTGCTAATACTAGAGGTAATTAGTTAGATTCACAGTTTTGGGGCCCATTTCCTTAATTTTAGTTTTATCCGACTCGGTACTCAAAATGGCCGGGCTTCCTCCATTCCATGTTCGTTTCTTGTTTTCTTTGCCCGAGGTACCTGCCGAGACCAACTCAACCTCTCTGATTTTTTTTTCGCTAACCAGGGGTGGTGGAACCAATCGAGAGGCCCCAAAAAATACACGTATAGCATTTTAGGTGAATTCAGTTATAATTTTAATTATTTGAAAACCATCTCTCTAGAACTGCCTTAACCGGTTCAAGTGTTCCTTTTTGTCAGCTACAAATCCTAACGATGTTAATTATTGCTTTTGCAACATATTTTTGTCCACCAAGGCCAGAAAGTTACGTTAGGCCGTAATAGTAATTTGAAAAATAGATTGCGCTTTCATAGTAACTTACGCTAGATGTCTGTAGGAAGCTGTATACCCACAAGCACTAAACGTGATGAATCTGCAGTGTGGCAACTACTAAAAAGTATCCCCTCCTCAAAACCCCTGTGTGCCGTCAAATTTCAGACTACAATCAACTGTGTCGAAGGTATAAAAATACTGGGATATTCTGGTTTAGTCATTCAAAACCATCAGATGTAGCACCACATAAAGTTTCTTATATTAATCTTTATCGTCCTTCTCTTGTGGATTCGAGTGTCGTATGGAACCATTTCGCCTATCTGGGCTCATCCTTCGAACCGGGCGCTGTGTTGTCTCAATTTCCCCTGGCAAAGTAAATATTACGGATTCCTTCTGGCACGGGTCCATCTTAGGTCCAAAAGTATTAATCTAAATTTATCCTTCCGGTGCCCTGACAATGTGTTGTACATTATTGTGAACGTTAGCCTACTTATGATAGTTCCTGAACTGTGGATGTTGGTCTTCTGTAGGAACATACTACCTCCATCGTCAGGGTTGAATGTGAAGGTAGCGTGTTCCTCCAAAACGCCGTCTGCCTTTAACAACAACGACATATTTACCGCACTGAAAAGCTCAAATCTCGTATCGCTGCTTAAGCTGTTCTTGCACAGAGCATAGAAAAATCACTGTACAGTTAACCACGAATCACATAATACACTAGACAAAGATTACATGACGTGTGTAAGTAGTGTTAGAAATGACCGTCCCTTGCATCTTTGGACACTTAATTTTATTTATAAGTACATTAACAAGGTCCTCTCCTGTGATTGGGTGTTCTGGATAACAACAATAGCACAGCGACTTTTCGAACGCACTCTGTATTCAACACTGAAGAGGATGTTGCCAAAATATTTAAACATGTATACACAGTTATAAACGAGGTTTTTGTACCCGAATTCGGAACCTGGACATTTTTAACTTCCATTATTTTGCCACAGATCAGGAGCCAAGTTTTGTGTGGCTGTGGTGGGGAGGACTTGTGGTGGGGATGGATGTTACATGAAACGAGAGTGTCAACGCGAAAATTAGTTCTACGTGAATAGTTGCGAGGACTGGTGTGGGGTAGGGAACCTGGTGGGGGAGGTTCCCCTCCTACTGCATCTCCAACCGTCAACTCCCGGTAAGGCGAAAGGAAAGGTGATCTGTGTGTTTCTGTAAGAAGTTTGCGGCCAGTCGCTTTCTGACTCGTGAGACGCCAACAGCCGCTGCGCTTTCTTCTGTCCAGGTATGTCTGAGCTGTCATGACTGACTTTATTTAATATATCATTTGTTGCTATAAAATTCCAGCGAATGCACTAATTTCACAAACATTTCATCCATATTTATTTTTACATTGTCTCGATTTCGAATCCTGAAAGTGTAAAGACATCCCCAAAATTGTCGTCATATGTTTTACCTTAATTTTGTCTCAAACGTACTAATAACAAATAATTATATGAGTGACTGGCAGGCAATTGTAGGATTTGAGACAAACTTAAGTCTCTTTTATAAGAAAAAGTTGCTATTTCGATTCGTTGTATTCATCTTCGTGGATCTATATCAACTTGTATTCAGTTTGTAGATGGCTAAAAAGGCTCAGAAATTATGTTTCAGGGGTATTTAACGGTGGTTTTTCAACTGATTTGTTTAAGGCCTAAAACATCTAATGTTAGCATGATCGTTAATTGGAAAAGTTTATATACTATCCCATTATTTTGTTGGAGGGACTGAAGAAAACAATGAAGATCTAAAGATAGCAGGTCTCGGGGAGGGTATTAGAGCCGTGGACCTACCGAATACGAATAGTTATTGCTAACCACTCGGTGGGAAACACTGAAATTAGTGAAGTAACTGTTATGAGTGATAATTAAATTTCTTATTTATTATTGCTAACCACTCGGTGGGAAACATTGAAATTAGTGAAGTAACTATTATGAGTGATAATTAAATTTCTTATTTATTTAATGTTATTGTTATAATATTGTACTTTGGCTACATTTATTGACTGTCTTTCGTTTTTAAACTTGTGTATGGATATGAGCTTCGGCTCTAAAGCTTAAGTCTTCGTACTGTGCTTTCTCTGAACCAAGGACTCAACACAGTTGATACCAAGAAGTCTAGGTCTAGTGGCAACAATTTTTATTTATATTATTACGGGACCCGATTCGTGAATCGAGAGTATTAG